ACCAAAAGTCGGTCATTAACTTCAGTTGATATACATGCATACCTTACAATTTAGAGTAGTAGTCATAATTTTTACTAATAATAATGCCATGGAGTAAAAATTCAGAAATTAAAGAAGAAAAAAAAAAGTGTAATTTAAATTCAACACTTAATTTAATATATTAAGGGGTTTAATATATTCTGTAAATCATTCAATTCAATGCATACAACTCTCAATTTTCTCTCTAACATGGTATCAGAGTTAGATTTTGGATAACATTTCATCTCTTGTAATACAACTGTCCATTTAAATTTATGATATAGATTTAAACTTAATTTGGTGGTCTAATCTAAAAACATATTTAAAAACGTGTCAAAGATTTATATTAATAATGCCATGGAGTAAAAATTCAGAAATTAAAGAAGAAGAAAAAAAGTGTAATTTAAATTCAACACTTATACAATGGAACCCTCACTTTAATTGAACATGTTTTCATAAACTTTTGTGTTTGAGTTCTTGATACTTGCTTACTTAATCCACTAGACTTGCCCCTCATCTTTTGCTAAATCATATCTGATAACTTATTTATGGTGTTTTTAGATCATGAATTTGAATAAGAAATTGAAAAGATGGAAAGAAATGGACAAAAAAATAAAAAAATTCAACTTATATTTTATTTACATTACCGTCATATTTTTCTTTTTTCTTTTTAAATTTTCACTCAAATTCACAATTCAAATACAATCTTAAGGGAATTGTGTAGAAATTAAACATATAGCCTCTATTGATATATGATTGTATATATATAGTTTAAGAAAAAAATTTAAAGAAATCTTTTTTTTTCCCTCTCTCACTTTCACATACGAAGTTACTCAAGGAAGAGAGTAACAAACCTTAACTTCTTAAAGAGTCGTGATGACTAGTTGGAGTACCTAATTCGTAAGGCTTGGCAAACAATTCATAAGGCTTATTTTGGTAACACAAAAAAATAAATAGATTATTGACTTATTGTTTTATTTAATCACATTATTTCTCTACTTTTTTACATTTTTTTTATAATAAGTTAAAAAAATCAACTTATAAATCACTTCTCAAAACAATCCTGAAACTTATGTTTTTTTATAGAGAGAGTTTAATCATTAAGCTATTTAGATTGTTATTTAAAAAAAAATTTATAAAAAAAAAAATAAATTTTTTTGAATTTTTTCAAAATATTCTAATATCAATTATGTGGACAGTTATGTTCTAAATTATTATTATTATGTTTTTTCAAATTGCTCATGTTGATTTTTTAAAATTCATTTCAATTTTAAATTTTAAATTCAATTATACAGATCATAATCTTATTTTAGTTCTAGTTACCTTATGTATTAAAGATAAACATAAGTGATGGGACATTATACAATCCCTACCACTTTGGGTGACATTAATACAATCCCTATCACTTGGGGTGATTATTAACATAAGTGATGGAGCATTAATACAATCCCCACCACTTGGGGTGACATTAATACAATCCCTACCACTTAGAGAGATTATTGGGTATTACGGAAGTACAGTTACGTGGTACTCTATGATATTATAATTGTTGGAGAAGATGAGGTATTATGATTTTGTGTTGAATGATTGAAGAATATGAAAGGATATGTTGGATAATGATTGGTGAAAGAGTATGAACAGTACAGTCACGTGGTGTTCCATGATATTATAATTGGTGGAAAATATGAGGTATTATGATTTTGTGTTGTGTTCCATGATTTTGTGTTGTGTTCCATGATATTATAATTGGTGGAAAATATGAGGTATTATGATTTTGTGTTGAGTGATTAAGGAATATGAGAGGATGTGTTGAGTGATGATTGGTGAAAGAGTATGAACATGTGATACTCTCTGCCTAATAACATAGAGTGGACTATGTGAAGGAGGTGAACTCATATTCCTCATCCCTCTCTCTTTCATCTCATTGGGGGGTCAAAATAGTGGTGCCATATTGGTGGGATGTAGGATAGTTGATAACGGAAGATAAAGAAGGTATCAAATTCCTCCCCATAGGAATTGAACCTAAGACCTCACATTACAAATAATGCTACACAACCATTATGCCAAATGCCCGATTATTTGGCAAGAGATTAACATGGGCTTTTATTCATTTACATATCAATCACCCTTCTTCAACCACTACTGTTTTAATAGTATTTCAATTTATTAATTTTTATGTGAAGCTTAAATAATAATAAATGTGTTTGTGCATAAATTCTTTTTTTGTTAAATTAACTCTCACTCACTCAATTTATCTTTACCTGACGTAGTTGTAATTAGTAATAAATTAAACTCCAATTATAATAGTATAGACATAACTTTTACAAAAATCATCTGACCAAAGGTGTAATACTATGTTTGGTTAATTGGATTGAGTTAGAATTGAATGATCATCTATCAAAATATTTATTCTCATGTTTGATTTATTTTTAAAAAATTATGAAAAATGCATTACAAACATAATTATCATCCATCATTACAAGGAAATGATTAGGTATGAGCAAAAAAATAATAAATAAAATCACAAATCTGTCCAATCAAACAAAACTGCACTTTTTTCTTTTTTTTTCAATGCATGATGATTCCATCCTGGTTCATAAAATAGGTGATCCATACTTCACGGTTTGGTCCATAATTTTATAATTATGGTTTTGGTTTGGAATTGAACTAGACAGATTCAATATATACCTACATATAATTAGTATCTCATATATATTTGTAAGTTGTTAACCCTACATTGTTTTGCAAGTGTGTTCATGTACAATAGTAAAACTAGTTCTAAACAACTATTTAAACAATTTTATAAAATGATGACATATTGCTTAATATTTGATCAAATTGTGATCATGTAGTGAATGAGTACAACGTTTATAAAAATCGTGATTCTAAACCAAATTGCATTATCTTGGTTTACTTTGGTTTGATGCCAAAATTATCATGATTCGTTTTGAATTCAAATTTTATGAAAGCAGAGGCAGTGATTTAATCTTGGTTTATTTCAAAACGGAACCATGCACCCTAAAAATTATCATTCCATTTCAATTTATTTTTATTTTATTTAACTAATGTATGATTTTTTTTTGTTGTATTGTTTAACTTTAATGCTAATAACTTTAAATAGCAGAAGATGCTCTTACTTTCGAAAGGAAAAGTAAAACCAGTGCAACGCACTTTATCCCTCTAGTAATCTTTAATATGCATCATTTCAACTTTTGAAAGAGGCATAATATTGAATCTTTGTTGTCATAAATATATGTCTTCACAAACATTCTGTTTTCCTCCAATGCTACAACAAAAGGTGATGGGACTGTCAATTCTTGTTTTGAGAGTATCCCCATTCCGAAAATCCAGGCCAGATTCAGGGTGTCGAGAAATTGAAAAGCTAAACAAGATTCACTTCACACCTAATAAACATTGAACCTTTGTGTGTGTGTGTTGGGGGGGGGGGATCTACTGTGCGTGAAGAATTTTTGAATGATCTGAACTATTCATATTGTAAAGTTTGTTAAATAGATTATCCATGTAAAAAATCTAATTGATTGGAAATTTATAACTTTATAACAAGAATACATTTATTTTTAAAAAAATAAACGGTTAATACTATTTTGATAATTTTTGTAAAACAATTTGAATCTGATCATAGGGTTACGGATTTCTGATTAACTTAATTTTTTATGTGAATGATATACACAACAAATCCTACAATATGAATAGTTCAGATCATCGAAAAAAACACGAAAAAAACCTCCACGGGCTCACAGCAGCAGCCCCAGGTCCCCTAATATTAACAACCAAAAATAAAAACTCACCAACCCCACTTAATAATACGGCGTATTGTTAAATTCCATATTCATCTTCAACATACCAACCCCACTTAATAATACGGCGTATTGTTAAATTCCATATTCGTCTTCAACATGATTCATGAATATAACAGGTGGGCCATCGGCCAGAACTCATGTACACTTGTGACATGTTTGTTTCGGGCACATGGTCTTGGGATTATATTAAGCGCAAATTTTACTTTAGCCCTTGTGTTTTTGCCTAGTTGTAATTTAAAAATAACCACACAATTATCTTCTAGTTTGTAGACTGAATTGAACCATTAAACTGAACATTAAAAGGTTATATGCTTATTTTCAAATTTTAAGAAGATAAATCACATTAAATAAAACATAAAGGATTAAAGTATATTTTGTTTCCCAAACATATAACAAAAATATTCGTAGTTCACACATTTAAATTACCTATATAGGGATATTTTATTCTTTTCTATTAAATTATTAACGATCCTAATAATACACTTCAATTCACAAACCGTAAATAATTATGTCATTTTCAAAATTCTATGGCAAGGACATCTCGATGCAAGTATCATATGTATATCAAATTCTCACACTAACCAACCAACTCATGGATTCAACTGGTATTTCCAAATGAAAGGAGATAATCTGCAGACTAAATCACAACCGATAAAATAAAATTTGCTTGCATATTAATAATCCAATAAAATATATAATCGCACATTTGACTTAAAAAAATTAAAATTCAAAATAATAATCCACCTAGACATGCTATCGCCCATATGGCAGCAATATTGAATCCCAATAAGGGAAATTTAAAATGGGAAATTAAGGAAAAGCTTAGACTAATTGACTAAATTACAAAATTAAAAAAAAAACTTATTAAATCCTCACAATCCTAAACCAATCCAAATAAAGGATATGATATACAATCCAAAGACATCCATAATTCTAAAGCTAATAAATTTAAGAATGTTAATCCTATCTAATGCAGCCTGCCTAAACAAAGAATAACTTAGGATTCAACTCTTGTACCCTACAATATATTGAGAAAGAGTAAAATTATTGAATGGACATCCTATAACCTTTAAATGCACTATAAACTTGTAAGAGAACTGTAGTAACCTGTTTAGTTGTATTTTCATTTTCTGTGTTTTCAAAAACAAAAACAATGAAAAGTTCAAAAACATTCATCATTTTCAAATCCTGCAAAAACCAATTCCAAATATTTGAAAACATTTATGGTTGCCTACCCATTAATATGATAACAAAGTATAGGTTTCATTCTAGCACATATTCTCTAAACCCTAACCTGATAATGAACACAATCCCCGTATGCACACTAAAAAAAATGGAATGCGGTCCAGCAGGTTAGCGAGAGGAATGTCATCCATAGTGTTGTCCTGAACTTCCCAATTCCCATTTTGCAGCCTCCACAATCAACCATTTAATGGTAGGGTTGGGAAAGGGGGCAGTCCCATTCAAAAATCATGCCTATGCATCATGTTACAACAGCTTTGGGAATTTATTCCCAAGTCTCAAAATTTATTGGCCTACTAAAAGATACAGAAAATTTAAGTCAAGAAAAATAGAAGACCAAAATTAATGTACAATATACAGACAGCGAAAGCGCCGGGGGGGGCGCGGCGGTGTTGGGGGGTGAAGTCCTTTCGGATAAGTAAGTTTACTAACTCTCTGTTTCTGCTTCAGGACATAGCATCCCTCCGTCGATGTCACCATCTTTCTTATCAGAAGCTACCTCAGTCTTCCCCTCTTCCACTATGCTCCTCTGCTGCAACTCCTGCTTCAACCTTGTGATCTCATCATCCTTCTCTTCTACACTATCTTGCAAGATAAGCACCTGCAACAGAATAGAACCCATGTTCAAATTGCACATCTCAATCAAGCAATCTCAGCTCTCATTGCGTGTTCAGTGTTAGATAAAAAGACATAATTTCTTGCCAATTTGGACCATCTAAACCATACCAGAGATTCTTTAACAAAAAGCTGTAACATTTGAAACATTTAAGGCTAAAGCCATAATTAAATTAAACCATTAATGGCCAATTGAAAGTTGAACATGCAGCTTTTTCATAAACAACAATCCAACAGTCCTAATATGGTAAGTCGATCACATGACCAACCAACTGGACAGCAGATGATAGGTCAATGTCACATGCCTTAGTTTTTACAGAAATATTCGTGATCATTTTCCAGCAGCATTAACACACCTAGTGTTACATTACCATGTAAGCCTCATATTAAACTGCATTAGTGTCCTAACACAAATGGCAGCTAAATTGGACAGCAATAACAAAAGCAGTATAATCTTTAACATCACCCAAAATTAACGGGTCCTGTCAAAATAGTGTCATTGTCGCTTGATGGACCTTATAAACATGCAAATTCCCAATCAAAACCAGGTGGGACTGATAAGCTTGGCCTAAAAGGACCAACTTTTTGCAAAGATGTAAAAAAGAGGCATTACACTTGGATGCAGGGAATATAAACCTCTAAGGTTGCCCACACCCTAATGCTCCAGCTAGTTGTCCAGAAGACGACAAATAAAAATGGAATATAAAACTACCCATAATATTCTTGTATGAATGTCCAAAGATTTCATTTCTATCCTGTCCACTACTGGCAACCAAAGGAGCATCAGAGCTTAACACATCTCTTGGAGATTTCATAATAATATGTTTTACCCAACATTGAATAGGGAAATGGAAAGATGTACAGGTAAGATGAAAACCATTTCGTTCGATTTTTCCATATCATTTGTCAGTCCCTCCATAAGCTTACACAATCCTGTATGCAACAACACAAGATTAATAAATGAGATGAGCCTATAACATGAAAAAAAACTGTACTAAAACAAAATGCGAAATATAAGTTGTAAAGCAACATTACTATGTAACAAAATAAAAAAAGGAACCTCGAAAATTCTGTCGTACTTCATCAAAGACAAACGGGAATACAGAACAATATTTTCTTCCAATAAACACATAAATTGATAAATTAACTGTCAAATCAAATATAACATAGGGTGCCAATTCTATTCTTATTTTAATCATTTTACGTCGAACTTGAGACAGTATTACTATTACTTCCATTATTTTTAGAGGAAGGAAGAAAAATAATTCTATTTATTTAACCACAAGGGCAGTAATTCTTCTGTTAATCCGATTCCTTATATTTTGTGAGTAAACTGCAACACCATTCGATCTCAGTTGAGAGTAGATATGAGGGTGCATTACTTACTAATTTTAAATCCAAATGTAGACCTTGGAATCCTTTCCATGCCTTTTCTGTGGATTGTGGTTTGCTTTAGGGTGTGATTACCATAAAAACATTTTCCAACAAAAACCAATAAAACAAACTATTCCTACTTATCAAACAACAAAAGCTCAACCAATCAAATCGAGGCAGACGTTTGCCCCAGTCTAATAGACCCAACAAAACACAGGCAAACTAGCAATGTGTTCCTTTTCCCTTTATTTAATATTTTGAAATCACTGGCAACAAAATATTAAACATGTAATAAATTACAACAGGCCCAATTTATGGTTCAAGAAGCAGGTGATGAATGGCTGACCTTCAAATTGATTTCTGAGTTCCGCATTCTGAGATTTCTGCAGAGCAAGTTTCATTCCTAACTCATGAATCTGTCAGAGGAAACAATGTTTAATACATCCATCAACCAAACCTTTGAAGCATATACGAGGCAAAAGTCCATTATGCCATCCCACCCAGACTTGATATAAACGTAGTTTCAACATAGTTAAATGACACTGACCATAAAAATCTTATTACGTGTTGGTTTCAACATATATGCGCTGCCAAAGCTAAAATGGTAAAAAAATAAAAATTAAAAAAATAATAATAATAATTTGTTCAGCAGATTGCAGAAACATCGGACATCACATTCCACCCCATTTAACCCAAAATTTAATCTTCCAATTTCGTCTTAGAAGTAAAAGAGACTTGATATAAACGTAGTTTAATCTTTTATACAATTTATCCATTTGAGCTCTCCCTCCATGCAATATCTGAATACATAAAAAATATGTATTATACAAATACAATAACCCAGTACCTTTCCTTCATTAGCCTGGTTTCCAATCTCCTCATTTTCCTCCTGCAGGGTCCTACATTTAGCCATCAGCATCTTGCCCATCTTGCTTTGTGGTGTAAAATTGACAGCAGCAACATTATCCTGCAACTCTTTTATTTTCTTATCCTTCTCCTCCACCAAATTCTGTGGTTGTGATAAACAAAGAAATAAATAAATAATTGTAAGCAACTTCAAAATATGTGGACATATATTTAGCAACATGCACACAAACACATAACACGAACAGATCAAACAGATTCATCATCCACTGTTGTGTAATCCAAAATGACATAACAAGATTAAAAAAACAGAGTCCACAAACTGACATGTCTCACAACTAATCTCATGCATTTACTGTCCATGCATGAGAGAGAAGAGCAGCCAAATTACTTGGAAAAAATCGTTTCTATCTGGGATAACAGAAACGTCTACTACCTAACCACCTTAGTAGTATCATCAAGCTAGGTAAGAGAAAACAGTGGTGTGAAGCTAAGAAACACGTGACACAAAATATAGGACACCACATGCTGGGGATACGCTCAAAATATATAATTTTATTTATTATTTGTCATAAAATTTATAAAAAAAAAATTGAGAAGTAACAAAAAATGCAAAATAGCATTAATAAATATTTTAAAATATATATATACAACTATTCATCAATTTCAGCACTTTACCTAATAAATAAATTGAGCAATTTCAAGAAATTTATTTTTTCTTCAAATAAAATTAATTTGCTTTATGCATGTTAGGGCCAAAGATGAATATTAAAAAATAGAGGGATTGCCAAATTTTTGTTCTTAGCCAATAACTGACCTCATAAAAGGGGTTCAGAAAATATATAATTAAAGAGAAAAGAGAGAAGAAAAGAAAAAACAAAATAGAGAGAGAGAAAGAAACAGAGGGGAGAGAGAGAGAGAGAGACTACAAAACAGAGTCTAAAGGAAAACAAAGAAAAGAAGACAACTAAACAGGGAGAAGAACAAAGACGATGAGACGAAGAGAGATGAAGAAGAGAAGAGAAGAGAGAGAGAGAGAGCTACTTGCGAATCTGCAATTGCTTCAATAGGGACTTTCAAAAGTTTCAACAGCTTCGCCTAGGGTTTACAGGTGAGCGACTAACTCTCTCTCTCTCCCCTCACAGTGTCCCTCAAGTGTCTGTGAGCGTGTTCGCAAAGTGTCCGACTGGAAAAAAATCAAAAAAAAATCTGGACACGTTAGAGAGAGTGTCCGCCGCGTGTCCGTGTCCGACACGTGTCGGACACCCATACATTGCTACCGGAGAGGTGTCCGTGCTTCATAGGTGTGAAATATATTATCAAAGCACCTCAAAAAAGGGAAGCATGCTTCAGAAGCTGAAAGTGCCATATTTCCCAAGTGTTCCCAAAAAAGGGAAGCATGCTTCAGAAGCTGAAAGTGCCATATTTCCCAAGTGTTCCTAATGCTTCAGAACTGTGATTAAGATTTTAATCAAGGTGAGGAGTCATCATAGTAAAATAATAATAATAATAACCATAAGATACCAAGCACATTAGACCTAATTTTTCTTTTTCTCCAGGAATTTGTCACATGCAATTGTCTGCATTTCAACATTGCAACTTTTAGCATTTAGACCACCAATGCAACTAATACCAACCTACCACAACCTATACCACAAGCATAATAGCCACTCCAAAACCACCACATCTTAACTTTTTCCTGCATGAGACCTTCAGGACATAAAGTGCTTCGAGGTCCTCAAGGGTGGTCCCCAGCCTCACTGTCAACTGGTCCTTCAGGTAGAGCACTCACATTTAAGAGTTTAGAATGGCAAATTGAGCAGGTACTCAACGATTTGTTGCCAACACTATCACAACGGCCCTTTACCACCACTTACCTAACTACCAACCACCACCATCACCATCATGATTGCAGTTGCCACTAAAGCAACTGGTTATACAGCCACCGGTGCCATCCTTTTATACATCTGTCCTCAATTGACTCAAAACACCAACAATTCTTCATATATTTGGGTTTATGTGATTAAAGCAAAAATGTTCTTTTAACCGAAGATTATTGTAACACAATACAATACAATGCCAAGATTTTGCAATGTGCATAATAAACATTTTTACTAGGGTTCACTGGTCGGGTCGGGTCGGTTTGCCCATCAACTGATCCGACCATGGCGAGTTGAACATGTACTCAGCCACTATCGATCGATGTGGTGTTTGAAATCGAGCGTTTTCAAGATCCGGTTTTGCAATCAGCTTTGGTCAAGTTGCATGGGTCACAGAAAATCTCACACAAAAGACAGGCAGAAAAAAAAAGAAAAGAAAAAAAAAGAAAGATGGTTTCAATCACAAAGGATAAGAAGAATATCACCAAAAATAAATAAAAAAAATAAAAGAAAAAGGGTTTTCAAGGAATTCCAAATGAAGGTAGAAATCACATAATAATAAAATGGTTTATTACACTTTCTACCCTCAAACTATTGTCAAATTGTTTATTTAGTTCTGGAACTATCAATTGAGTCTTCTTAGTCCCTCAAGTATATAAATCAAAGTCTATTTAGTCGTTAAATTATCGATTGAACCTATTAAGTCCTTAAAATATTTAATTCAAACTTATTTAGTCCCTGAGAGAACTATAAAAATAAAATATGTACCCACAAGCATGGTTGTCCAATCACGAATGGAATTGTAAATCAAATCGAATTGTGAATCGTAAGATTCACATTATTACACATATATTTTATAAAATATATATATACATATAAAATCACAAATATAGTGCTTAAAATGAAAAAATAATAATTTAAAAATTTTATGAATCACTAAATTGTTATATATAATATATAATTTATCTAAAGTATATTGTACACTATATATTATTTATTATAGTGTAAGTGGTGTGTACAACTACGTAATATATACTATATATATATACTATGAACCACGGGTACAGATACGAGTACTAGTACTAGTACGATATGAGTATGACGATATGAGTATGTCAATACAATAAAATCCAAAAAAAATAGGAAGGATATGGATACGGCTTGAGCTTGGTACATTTGTAAAAAAATATTTATTTTTAATTTGGAATAATGCTAAAATTGATTAAATGGTTTAATTTGTTAAGATCCAGCCTCTAATTAACATTTAGAGGGTGTATGGGATGATCCAAATAAGTATACTTTTAAACATTTTATAAAAAGATGTGCAAAAAAGTAAAGAGGTGATGTGACCCAAAAAAATAAAAAGATAAAAAGTGTGCTAATATAAGGGATGTCAAATAGTGCCTTGATGCTAAAAGTAAAGGTATAAACCAAAATTAAATATCATTATATTAAATAACTTACAAACCATAGCTTAATTTTAAAATCATGTCAAGTATAACACTAAAAATAAAAAACAAGTCTAGTGAAAGGAATTTTATCTCTGTAGTAGAAGAAATATTATTTTGATGGCTTGGGTATATACTTAATACGTTTGGATATGCCAAAAATTAAGAAGAAAAAATTGAAGTACGTGTTTCGTGTACCCGGTATGTGTGCAGAAATACCATATGAAGTATCATACACGGGTAAGCACCCGGTACAGATACGACATGTTTGTCGAAGTACCCATGCTTCATAGTATATATATATATAATATTATTAAAGGAAAGAGACCCACAAATAGACAACAAGGTAGGCAACAAAAAATGCAGCTTTTAGGGTGACGAAGGAGAAGAGATGAGCTTCGATAGATTACCCAGCGAGAGATTACCGACAACGAGAAGAAGACAATCCCTAACTTGATTTCTTTACACACCTTTAGATTTTGGGTATTAAGAAGTAAAACTATTGCTCGATTTCTTCAATGGTAGGTTCGTTCCGCTTCTTTCTTTGATTCCTCTCTTCACAAGCCCTAGCTTGATCTTCAACTAGTCTACTAGTTTTCATTTCAGAAATCAGAGTGAAAAAAACACTATGAAATCTAAATCGTTTAGAATCAGATGCATTGGCGATTCCGAGAGGTTCACACGATTTAGAGTTTGAATCAAATGATTCTTTCAATTTTTCGATTCCAAGGTGCGATTTGTATCATCCTAAGCTGTTAAAACCTATCACCTACTTCACACTATCACGTACTTCACCCACTTAAACCTACTCCACTAAACCTAACCCACTACACCACTACCACCTCACCTACTCCACTAAACCTAACCCACTACATCCACATACTCTCCACCTACTTCACCCACTTAAACCTACTCCACTAAACCTAACCCACTAAATCCACATACTCTCCACCTACTTCACCCACTTAAACCTACTCCACTAAACCTAACCCACTAAATCCACATACTCTCCACCTACTTCACCCACTTAAACCTACTCCACTAAACCTAACCCACTAAATCCACATACTCTCCACCTACTTCACCCACTTAAACCTACTCCACTAAACCTAACCCACTAAATCCACATACTCTCCACCTACTTCACCCACTTAAACCTACTCCACTAAACCTAACCCACTAAATCCACATACTCTCCACCTACTTCACCCACTTAAACCTACTCCACTAAACCTAACCCACTACACCACTACCACCTCACCTACTCCACTAAACCTAACCCACTACACCACTACCACCTCACCTACTCCACTAAACCTAACCCACTACACCACTACCACCTCACCTACTCCACTAAACCTAACCCACTACACCACTACCACCTCACCTACTCCACTAAACCTAACCCACTACACCACTACCACCTCACCTACTCCACTAAACCTAACCCACTACACCACTACCACCTCACCTACTCCACTAAACCTAACCCACTACACCACTACCACCTCACCTACTCCACTAAACCTAACCCACTACACCACTACCACCTCACCTACTCCACTAAACCTAACCCACTACACCACTACCACCTCACCTACTCCACTAAACCTAACCCACTACACAGTGTCCTCTACAACGTTATGACACCACCATCCAGTGTCTTCACCAATGGTCTGACACGACCATACAGTGTCTCCTATCCTCTTTTATTTTTATGTCTTTTCTTGTTTTGTTACTCTCTCCAAACTCAAGTTGGCTAGTTCCTATCCCCCTTGAGTTTGCGGGGGGCTGTGAAAACCTATCACCTACTTCACACTATCACCTACTTCACCCACTTAAACCTACTCCACTAAACCTAACCCACTACACCACTACCACCTCACCTACTCCACTAAACCTAACCCACTACACCACTACCACCTCCACTTCACCTACTCCTTACCTACTACACACTCACCCTCTTCTATATATAGGAATCATGAATCATTGTAATAGAAAAAAAATATAAATCAATCAATACTACAATTCTCTATTTCTCTTTATACATTAAATTTCTACATAAGCAAAAATCGTATCAAATTGTACGAATCGTATCACGAATCGTACGATTCAAACAACTATGCCCACAAATATTATAAATTAGTAAAAGACCCATCCTGATTAAGATTTTATTACAAAAAAATCTGGAAAAAAAATTTATTTTATCTTTAAAATATGTTTTATTTCGTTGTGTATTTAAATTAGTATTAGAGTCTAGCTTCTCAATCTTACAAAAAATTATGAGTACTAAATATACTAAACAAGTAGAATTAGATAATTTAAACAATAACACTTCACTACAAATAATAAGAGGATAAAATAATACATTAAGTTATAAAAAGAACTTGGAGAAAAACTTGAAAAGAATTAATTAGAAATTATAAACGAAATTTGACGTATAATATTAGATAAATATTAGATAAAGGTAAACACGTAGTCATTGTAAAAGATAAGTAAAAAAATACTATACATAATTACGGGTGCGAGTACCGATACTGGTACGAGTACGCCGATACTAAAAGACAAAAATATAGGATACTGATACGGGTAAGGGTACGGCCGGGTACGTCAATAAATTTTTTACTTTTTATAATTTATAATTTCAGAATCAACATACAATCAAAGTTTAATACCAAAACTTAAAAAGAGAAATTTCAAAATCAAAAGAGAAATCATAATTCAACAATACCAACACCAAAGCAAAGTCTATAGGCTAATTTAATGCCATTAAATAGGTGAAATTACAAAACAAAGTTTCATTTGAAAAGCAAGCTAAGCAAAATTTGAAAATTTGAAACTTCAATTTTCACTTCCATCAACTTCATCATTGAATAATACATCTTTCATCTCTGGCACATCAAGTAAAGGATTTGCAATTTCAAGTAAATCAGAACCCTCTAATAAATTAAATGTATCTCCATCATTATTCTATAGCTTGGTGTACCCCCAATGTATCCATCCTATACCCACAAAGTACTCACAAAGTACCCAACTGCCAAAGAATGTATAAAAAGTACCCGATACGTATTTCGAGTACCCGGTACGCATGCAGCCCCATCAATATGAGCACCAATATCCGGTAAATACCTGGTACGAGTATAACAACATTTTCGGAGTACCTATGCTTCATAGAAAATTACTTAGACCCTTATAAAAGAAATTCATCATAAGAACTGATGCCTACTTTTCAAAGACAATAAAAATTTAAAGGTTTTTTAAAATAAAATTTTAAATAGATGGGTCTTTTACTAATTTATATTACTTATGGGCCTATATTTTATTTTTGTAATCTTTTCAGGGACTAAATAGGTTTGAATTTAATATTTTTAAGAATTTAATAGATTCAATCGATAGTTTGGGACTGAATAGACTTTGATTTATATACTATAAGGACTTAGTATACTCAATCGATAGTTCAAGAACAAAGTAGATAATTTAGTGATAGTTTGGGCATATAAAGTGTAATAAACCCATAATAAAATAAAAACAAGGGGAAAAGAGAAACAAATGAACTGCCCATAAATCAAAACTTGTTTTGCCACTTCAACAATTGTTCATCCATGTTGCGAGTGGTTTCCGATTGCATGTTGTTTACCATCAACTCTCTACGAATAACCCAATCTAGGGTTTCAATCCTCATCATCGAGTCACCAGATGGGTGCCGGAAACTGAATAATCAAAGTGGGTTGGGAATTTGGGGGAGAAGGGGGGTGATGGATATTTTCGATTAGAGAGGCGCAGAGGAGGCATGAGCAAGTGATGGAGGAATCCAAAAGAGAGAGAGAGCGAGAGAGAAAATTGAATGTGTGTGACAGAGAAGAAGAGAGTAGGAATTGAATATGTAAGAAGACAGTCCGATGAGGACTTCTTTGTCAGGTTATGATGGTTATAAATAAGTGTAATTTGGACTGCAAATAAAACAGTGACACGGTTATTGGTCGGATCAAGTTTGTCGATTGCGATAAGAATTAAACTGCAGCCCGTTCGAATAATCAAGAGTTTTTACTCGGTTCGTTTGGGAAGAAAATTAGGCAAAAAGTCACTACAAAAGATCAACACATTCTCTCTACTTTTTTGTACATCTTTTCGTAAAAAATCAAAATCTCTAAAAAAGCCAATTCCCAAACAAACCCTTGAACTACCCATAGCCAACCGTTCTTTCATACAAAACTGTCCATTTCTTGATTTTTCGGATCAGATTGGTTGGATTCATCAGGTGATTCGGGTTTTTGTACCACCCTAATTTTTACTATTCATTCTTTCTCAGTTTCACTAGATTTATTAATAAAAAACAATTTATTCTTTAACTAGATAACTGATTCTGATAGATGAATCATAATTCACTCTAGAACTCTTTGGATACACAATGAAAAATATAAATCCATAGTGTTTCCAAACATAAACCTTAGTCCACAGCTACTTGAACTTGAAGGGAAATTGTAAATTCAACTAAAAGTCAACTAGAAAACTTTGGGAGCTAGCATATAGACAAACAAAAGTTATGCACCTCATCGCCATAACCCACAAATACTGGTATTTTGCCAACGTTGTATGCTACAACATAATAAGCATAGACACAGACATGGACAACAACACAGCTACGGACATGAGAAAAGGTGATTTTGAAAAAAAATAGGACACACGGCGGGCATGTGCCAAAAAAATATGTTTTATATATTTTTATTTGCTATATATATGAATATAAATTTAAGACACAAAGATACAAGAAGCATTAATGTAGATGTGGGTGTATTTTTATTTTTTCACTTATCCCGTGTTTTCATATGTTTTACTTTTGACCCCAAATCATCTATCTAATATTATATATAAAAAAAAACACAAAGTTGTCTTGAGGCGTGTCCAAACATAGGTTGTATGTGTCCCCAAAGTGTCCTACAAAAAACAATAATAAAAAAAAATAATTGACACACCACATGGTGTGTCTAACATGTGGACACGCGTGTCCCTGGAGTGTTAGCGTCCCATACATGTCCGACACGGACATGGCATCCGTTTTGAAGTGTTGGTGCTTCATAGGCTACAACCATATGCTACAATAACATCCTAAATAATAGCAGATTATACAAGCCAACCATGTGCATTTAATACATAAGAAAACAAATGCCAGCAAAGCATCTACTTAAAACATAAAATTAAATTAAAAATTTTAAAAACAGAAACAAATCAAGTTGGAATCAGGAATAAGGGTCCAGAACAAGCACCTTTAAACGTGTGAACTCTTCGTGAATAGCTGGATCTAGTAACAACCTCCTTGCCTATGAGGATTTACACACACACACAAAAAAAATGAATAAATAATAATAAGAGAGAGAGAGAGAGAGAGAGAGAGAGAGAGAGAGAGAGAGAAGAAGAAGAAGAAGAAGAAGAAGAAGAAAGAAAAAAAAAAAGAGAGCAGGAGAGAGATTAAGCACCAGCAAGATAGCAAAAGAGCATGAAAAATTCTGCAGCCAGAACAATACATATAAATAGAAAGCCATTGCAAAGTTATGGACAACACAACAAAAAGAATAAAATAATCATACAATGGGTCATTATCATGAAATGTTGGAAACAAACAACAATTAAGCCATAGTATTATACACTGCATTTGGAAATTACAAATATTTACATTTTTAAATACAGAACGTGATAAATCTCCTGTCAGTAGAGTGCAGTTCATTAAAAATAAATCTTCAATGCATGTGCCCAAGGGTTAATGGGTGCTCTAAGAGGGTAGGGAATATGACACTGACTATATCTTGAGCAAAGCTAAAGTCGGACCACGTTGGTATGGCAAACATGATACATCATAATTAATTGTTAAACAAATCGGATAAGGAAGTGAGCTGAGTTACCTGTGTCAGCTCTAGCTTGGTCACTCAATACCAATCTTGATTGTTTTTTTTTTTGCTGGGTATCCAAAGAATTTCAGAATGATGGAACCAGGAATGTAAATATAGGGATGCAACTTTCAATAATTGGTTGCAAACTAGTATTCAAATAATCTCCTCCAACCCAAAGGAGATAACATTTTTCTCAAGTGTCTTTTATTAGAAGTACCTGGACTTCTGCAAGTAGAAACAACAACAGCAGGAACTAACACAGCACATGGAACAAAGAGAGAGATCGAAAATTTGGAATTGTGCAAGGAATGAGCCTTGAACATTATGTATTGAAGATTAGGGTTAATATGGGTCTTAGACATAGTCGGTGTTTATTTTAAATCAAAATTATGCTAGAAATTATTAATTATATTTATTAGGCAGAAATCAAGGTGTTGTGGTTGAAAGACGGTGACCGTAATACAAAATGTTTTCATCAGGTGGCTACTGCTTATTGAAGGGTGAATCAAATAGGTAAGATGCCGGTAAATGGGGTGGATCTGTCATCGAAGGACGAGATTAAGGCAGGATTGTTGGATTTTATCAGAACATGTTTCGAGCAAAGAGGGGAATGGCCTCCGGGGCTAGATGGGGTGCAATTTGACATGCTATCAGCAATTGATAGCTCGGAGCTGGAACAGCAGTTTTCAGAAGAGGTGGCAGGGGCGTTGAGCATGATGAATGGTGATAAGGCCCCAGGACTGGATGGGTTTACAATGGTTTCCAACACTGCTGGGGAGTGTTGAAGGCGTATGTAATGGCGATGATGGAACAGTTTTTTCAGTCTAGGCAGCTCAAGAAGAGTTTCAACGCGACATTCATTGCATTGATTCCAAAGAAAGGGGGCTTGCCTGAGAGCGTGTATAAGTTATTAGCTAAGGTCTTAGCTAATAGGCTAAGGGGTGTTTTGAAGGGAGTGAGTCACATAATGCTTGTCAGCTTTTGGATGCGGTGTTGGTGGCTAATGAGTATGTTGATTCTCATAGTCGGCAACGGCAGACAGGAGTCATCTGTAAGTTGGATATTGAAAAAACATATATGATAATGTAAACTGGGAGTTCTTATTGTTTGTTTTGGAGAAAATGGGTTTTGGGGGCAGTGGAGACGATGGATTCAATTTTGTATATCTATGGTTTGGATGTCTGTGTTAGTGAACGGAACGCCAACAAGTTTTTTCCTCAACTTTTTGGGGCTTGTGACAATCCCCTTCGTCGTTTATTTTGATTATGGAGGCATTGAGTAGGCTGTTGTGTCGGGCAGTGCAAGGTGATCTATTGGAGGGTTTTACGGTGAGATCAACATCTACATCATCTTGTTTCTCATCTCTTGTATGTTGATGATTCGCTCATCTTTTGTGGTGCTAATGCGGAACAATTGGGGTATTTGTGATGTATGCTTCTATGTTTTGAGGAAGTGTCATGGCTCTAGGTAAATTTCGCAAAGTCGGAATTGATTTCGGTAGGGGATGTGAATAGGGAGTCAAACCTAGCGGCTATTTTGGGATGTAAGGGTCGACCTTACCGGTGTCGTACTTGGGCTTGCCGTTGGAAGCTTCTTTTAAGGCAAAGGGAGCGTAGGATGGCGTGTTGAAGAGGGTTCAGAGGCGACTGGCTAGATGGAAGAGACAATATTTGTCTAAAAGGGGAAGGCTAACTTTGATAAATAATGTTTTGTCAAGTATTCCAATCTATTTTATGTCTCTATTTTAGTGGATTGGGATCGGATTTGCATGCACAAGGAGGTGTGTGGTTTAGGGGTATGGAGACTAGTGACGTTCAATCTGGCCTTGTTAGGTAAATGGCTTTGGTACTTTGTGTGGGAGAGAAAGCGGTTGTGGCGTCAGGTTGTGCCAGCCAAATATGGGGTGGGATGGGGTAGGGTGGGGTAGGGAGGGGGGAGTGGAGTGGATTTCAAGCATGGTGGGGGGTTTTGCATGGACAGGGTTTGTGAAAGGGGATCTATCTAGGTCAGGGGGAGTTTTGGAAGGGCATTTGCTTTAAGGTGGGGTCTAGGGTGATGTTTTGGTGGGATAGGTGGTATGGTGAGAAACTTTTAGAGTTTTCGTTCCCGTTAAATGATTCATTTCACACAGAGACAGAAAGACAGTAATGCAACTGGTAAACCATCACAGATAAGTAAATCTATGTGCAGTGACATTGCCAACAATCAGTTTTCTAAATAAAACGCGTGTGTTCTAATTGAGGTATTAGGGCCTAAGAAGCACAGACACATGACACAACATGCTGACATGCAAATTTTAAAAAAATGCTGGATACGATTTGCTGGAGACTTGTGCAAAACATATGACTTTATATATTTATTATACGTCATATTATTTAATATTTATATTTAACTTCTGCACCTCTCTTCCATTTCATACAACTTATTCTATGTTAAATATAAAAAGCAAATTCATACTATTATCTAAGCAATTGAAGATAGAATATCAAAAGCAATTAGTCTTTGATAAGTTGATGGGGAATTAAAGCGAGGCTTTCAACATATTCTAGGAAATGCAAAAAGCATAAGCCGGAAGATTAGGGATTTGATTATAAACAATAAGTCTAATCATTGTAAGAAATATTTAGGTAAAAAGCTCTCCAAATAAAGAAGGAAGAAATATATAGGAAATCAATCACATAACAAGCACAACAAAACAATAAGAAGCCTATTCACTGTAAATGACTAAGAGTATAGAAGCCCATTGTCCATAAAATCCCAAAGTTTAAATCTAATGAATTACTCAATTCAAAAGCAAAAGAAAGACAATAAAGAATACAGTATAGCCAGCTTATCCTTTGATTTTCCAAGAAAATATACTCCAAGATCCCACAATGAAAATCTTATAAGAGAACTACCGAAAAATTTTATCGTACCTGCATTGATGATGGCTTAAGTTGCACTCTCAAGTCTCGTATGGCAGACTGAAAAATTAAGATCAATTGTGATTTCCTTAATATTAAAAAGTCCTAAAATAATGGGAAAACACACACTGAAAATACACAAGTTTCAAATTGGCATGAGACCACTGCCTTTAGTGAAAAACATAACATTACAAGTCTACTCTTGAAAATTTTTATATTCTCCCTGTCATACTAGCACACATTAGCAACGGAAGCTATGTTACCTAGAATGTAAATCATTCTAGTATGAGGAAACGGAAATGGTAATGCAGAACACCACATGGTCTAAAATATGGTGTGATAGAAATAGGCTTGTATAGCTCATACTATTAGATTTTAAGGTACTTATAAATGTGTGAGCAATTTTCTTTTAATAATTAACTATCCGATAAAATATACTATATTATTCTTCAAATTAATCATGTAAAAAAAGAATTCAAAGAGGATTATGCACCTTTTTCTTTAATACAGTTTGTTACGCCAAGCTCTACTCTCGCCAGCTTTTGGTTCATTATATTTGATTTTTTTTCGTATTAAATTTATTTTTAGAAATATGCACGGAAAAAAAGATTCAGAATTGCTTTGGATTGTTAAATTTATTCTTTTAGAATGAAGTGTACCATGTTTTGAAATATGCATTCCAAAACATAAATTGTAAAAGAGTGTTAGCATTTTATGGTAACATCGAATGGAAGTACCAAAAGTACCAAGCATTACAAATACAATCCCCTTTCGTTGCTCCACCTTGGCACACCTAGTGCCACCCTCCATTGTTAGTGTCTAAAGAACACCATTTCCTCTCGCATTATCTTGCCCTCCCCAAATTCTCTCTAGAATACTCTCCCTCATGCTTTGTTACGTTCTCTCGCTCTCTCTCTAGACCTTTCTCTCCACTGCCACACTTTAGTGGTCGATCAATCAATCACAAAGCTTGCTATAGTAAACCAACATTAACATAAACTAAGAAGCAAAACCCTAATTCATGAAGAAATGCGGTAGCCACATTGTCAAAATTAAATCAAGGATATTATTATTACAAGCCATGACTCCCTCCCACAGATCAATGGATCAAAACCCAAAAAACAACGAATCCCAAGATTGAGAGAGAGAGAGAGATGTGGAAGGTGCAAGCTCTGTTACATGGACTCGGCAGTTGGAGGCGAGGTACCCGTGTCGACACGACACGACACGGGTGTGGGTATGGGATCTGTGTCGGATTCGCCTCCTCTCTCTTGGACATGGCTAAGCGAAAAGGAAGAAAAAGATTGAGATACTTATATGGATGTGTTGGGTTCGAGATCTGGATTTGTTGGATCATAGCTTCATCGACAAGTGAATGTCGGCTACAATAACCACATCATCTAGAGTTAGAACCGAGAGAGAGAGAGAGAGTCATAATCACCAAGTGGGAAGGAGAAGAGAGCTTCGATCTATGCGTATTTCTTTTTTCTTTTTTTGAACTCTGTTGTGCGTATTTCAGAGAGAGGAAAGTGGAGAAAAAGGGAGAGAGAAGAGAGAAATGATATACAGCTGGAGATTTGCTAGGGTTGGCTAATGGGCTACAACCAAATAAATAAAATAAAAGTTTGGGCCTCTTTAGTGTTTTTTATTTGCCTTATTTCGTCTGGGCCTAGATTGTTTTATTCTAGTTTATTTAATATTTTGGGCCTAAATAAAATAAGTTTGGGCCTATTTAGTTTTTTAGTGTTTTGTATTTGGCCAAAATCTTTATTAAAATAAAAATAACTTACTTTATTATATATAATATAATTTATTTTATATCTAAAATAATTTTTATTTTTTATTTGTTTTTTTTTAACAAAATCTGTTATTCCTTCCTTATTTTTTTTTAACTCATCTTCATAAAATAAATATATTTTAAAAAAAAACTATTTAACATATCCCCATACCCGTATCCAAATTTGGATCTATATCCATGTATCCTCAATTTTTAATTTTGCAGTGTCCGACCCCTAGATACACACCCGCACCCGATACCCGTACCTGAGTCCGTGTAACATAGGGTGCAAGCGAGGCTCACATTCGCCTTTTATCATACAGATTGAGGGACTTGGCTGCAACAACAGTTTCCATGTGAGAAAGAAAGGCCAATAGCATAAACAATTGCTTACAAAGGCCCTTGGAATTTCCCCACCAAAGATTCAGCCCTCACGTGTGAGACTCTAATTTTCCTCATAAGCATCAACATGTCCTTATTCATACAGTTTGAAAGACAGAGAGCGAAGACAGGATTTAAAGCCACTTCAATATATATTTGTATATGTGCACATAAAAAGCGGGCTGCTCTTTTTGCACTGAAATCAGTAGCTTTTAGATGATCCGTCCAGAGATCATCTTATACAAATAAGGGCAAACTTCCTTGGAAACTTCACACCTATTTATGTAACCTATGTAGGATTTACTTACATAGATAGATTTACTTATATCTATATAGGAAGATTTGAATACACAAGTTCAAGTCTATATAAACATATAGATCAATACATACACACAAATAAGTAAAGAGAGAATCTCAAGGTATTTATAAGGTTAATTTATTTTTTAAAGGCAGCGAATCATCAAAGTGCAAAAATGGCCTTAAAAGCTCAAACAGACTATCTCATGATGGCCATGTTATTAGCTTCCATTATTCTTTAACAGAAGGGGAAAAGTGTCAGAATGTCATACACAAAAGGGGTTGATCTGTTAGGTTTTGTTAGTTCATTCAGGGTACTAAGTCAGAAACGGGTAAAAGCTTGAGGGGGAATTTGTTTAATTTTCTCTAAAATAAAATAAAGAAAGATGAAATATGGCACCCTTGGAACTTAAACATCAAGCATCAATTGAAAAACCTTCCCAAGGAATCACAATTTTGTTTTATCAGTAAAGGTTTCAAGGCTAAAGACAAAATCTTGTTTCATGGAAAGACCTAGTGCTGATCCTATAGCATATGTACAATATCCCTTTAGATGACTTGATTCAGCTCAAAAAAAGAAACAAAAAAAAAATATTAGTTTCTGATGCAGTACAGCTCACTTAAAAATAGATACTTCAGGAACACACAAACAGGATTCTCCACACTTAATTTCAGGCACGTTAGATTTATCAGAGCCATAACAGCTAAAGCTTAATTGGGTTGATGGAAGCAACAGGGAGAGATTTTTCAGATGACATTTATATAGAAAATGGGTAGAGTAAAAGAATGGGTAGCAACATGTCAGCTGGCCCATTGAAGCTCTCCAGCCTCCATTAAGTGTTGGACATGATAGAAATAGGTGATTTGATAATCAGTCAAATAACAAAATCTTGGAATGTCCAAGCAGAATCACAAACTAAGGGGTGCATGAATTTCACAGGACTTGGTGAAAGATACAGTGTCTCACTGGTTTGGTCGCTTTCATTAAGGCAATTCCTTTTTCTCTATTTATGTTTTCATTTTCAAGGAAATCTCTTTTGTATGTCTTGTACAACACCTACCCATTTAGAAAATGCATCAAGTAGCTACAAGCCTACAACTTCAAGTTAATTCTTTCATGCGCAACAAAAACAAATAAAAATGGATAAGCAAAGCTAGACTTCTCACCTTCAATTCTGCAATCTCCTGCTCTCGTTTTGCAAAAGTTACGATAAATGCAGCTTCCTTCTTTTTTGCCTTTTCTAGCTGATAATAACAAAAAGTACAGAAAAAGTTTTTAATAATTTATGCTAATTTCGTATGCAACCAAAGAAAAGCACAAAATTAAACAGTAAACCTGCTCTCTCAATGACTCCTCTGAGGATTTCAGGCTCTGAAGATAACTGACTACTAATTTAGGTTCTACAGAGATAATAGGACAATCAACAGTACTGCGAAACAAACATGATCACAAAGATAAATTATTAAAACATTCAAACCACTAGATGAAAAGACTGACCAGGGGATGTTCCTGCAGGTATGAAGGACTCGTTCTGAAATGATAAGTGCCACTTTTGAATCTCAGCCTTCGCAGCTTCAAGCTCCATCTGAAACCAAAACCATTAGGACTATAAACCCTATAAATAGTCTTAGCCGTGTTAAGACACACTAAACACCAGATTTCTGTCTAAGGCATATATCTTACTCCCTTACTGGGGGAACTGCAGGGTTCAACTTCAAGCAGATAAACATGGGGTCTAAAAAGGATGGACACTTCTTCTATGGAGGAAGCATGTCATGTCCGACACCCATGTCGAACACTCTTCGGACACTCCTAAAAGTGTGTTAGACACTTCTGCAACGAGTCTTAATTATAAAAAATGAAATGAAATCAAATCAAATTCATAATATCGGACACTTTACTGACACTTCAGCAACCCTCCGAACACGTCCTATGTGATGAGTTCCATCATAATAACAATCTTTTGTGTTCTCCACAACACAACTTATGCACTCTAAATATGTTTTGAAACATTTATAATATGAATACGTCATACATATTACAATGTTTCTATAATCATTTTGTATTCTTTCGAATGTAATTGTTATGTGAATCTCTTTAGATTTAAGTTATTTAATATATACTTTTTTTTAATGTAATTAGTGTTATGTTACATATTTTTCATTATGTTTTTTCTTTTCCCCAATAAATTATTCATATATATGACATCATAAATTTGTAAATATAAAATTTTAACATGTCCGAAGCATGTTGTGTCCTCCATTTTTTTTAAAATTAGCGTGCCCGCATGTCCATGTTTTTGCTACTTAGCATGGGGTAGAATAGGTTAATTGGTAGGACAAGGGCTACCTTCATTGTGTATTCCATATCATTGGACCAAAAGAAGGAAACACACACAGCACAAATGCTTGAGATCCACAGCAGGCTCGAGGGCTTGAAACAAGTATCATATGCTCTACTTTGGTATTCTCCAAAACCACCATGTTCACTAAGCCTTGATCATGAGAATTGCAAAGCCACTTCTAGAACTATTAAAAAAAAAAAAAATTTAATTCCCAACAAAATCTATCACTCAAACATACTATCTTAACCCACCAAATTCAAAAAGAAATTAACTCAAATCAGAGTCACATTCAACATAAGTCACTACTAAAATTAAGGAGCAATGTTACATGGACTCGTCAGTTTAGGGCAAAGTACCCGTGTTGACACGACACGGGAGCGGGTCTGAGATCTGTGTCAAATTCAGCATGGTTTTCTCAGACACGGCTGACATGAGAGAAGAGTGAAGAAGGATTGTTGAAAAACTTGCGAGTTACAATGGAGAAGGAAGCAATCGCCATAGCCATCTCAATCTTTCATTCTCATTCGCGATCTCAATCTATCTTCTTCTCCCTGTCGGTCTCTCGATCTCCTTCTCGTTGTCGATTGATCTCCTTCTCTCTCTCTCTCTCTCTCTCTCTCAATCTTCCTCTTGTTTGCTCTGTCTCTCTATCTATGTCTATCCATCTACTCTCTGGTTTTCTCTCTCTTCTTCACTTCTCTTTTTCTGACTCTACTTATCTCATTTATAACACATATAAATATATATATATCTATATAATAAGGGAGGAGGATTTTTGAAAATGTGTAAAAATGTATGAGAGATACATTTGTATCAATGGTTGAGATCTTTCCTGATCAACATCTAACGGTTGTCTCTCAAACACTCCTCTCATTTCTACCCAAGTGTATCAAACACTCCTCTTCTTCTGTGTCTCACAGGTCTGCCTCCCACCTAACCCTTCTCCCTCTCTTCTTCTTGATTTCAAATGGGAGTCGAGTGTTCTGTAAATCCTTCTTGGTACCTTCACTCGCTTCGACTGAACTCATTCGATTCAAGTTTTTCAGAGCTCGAACTTCCTCATCCAACCCTTCTAGGGTTTTTCGAATGGCCACCGAGCCTCCTTCTTCATCCTCATCATCACCACCACACTCCGCTTCAGCTTCCTCTAATGGCGATTCATCCTCGGTCCCCGCTTCTTCTGCCATCGATTTTCTCTCTCTCTGTCACCGTCTCAAGGTATTCCTCATCCAACCCTTCTATGTATATATGTATCGATTCTCTCTCGAATATCATTGCCTAAATTTGTGATTTTGTTTTTTGGGTTTGGGGGTTTTTTGGGGTTTGATCAGACGACGAAGAGAACGGGATGGGTGCGAAGGGATGTTGAGAATCCAGAGTCCATAGCCGATCATATGTATCGAATGGGGTTGATGGCTCTCAAATAGGATATTTTGTGCCATGGGAAGCAAATTTATGAATGCTGACCAATCAACATTTATGATTGATCTACATCAAGTTGGAATGATGCTAAGGTATAGTTACACAGTTTTCTCTACATCTACCCCCCGCATCCTTGGTGTTTGGTTCTGGTGATTTGTCTACTGATTTTTTTATTTTTTATAACTATTGTTTTTTTTTTGTTAGCTGTTGGCACATTGGGATTGTTTGTGGTTATTGATTCAACTTTTCATTGTTTTAAATACTGTTATTCAAAATCCATAAAAAATTTCCTCTCTTTTTATTTGTTTGTTTAAATTATATGTGGTGAGGTCAGATTTTTGTTGTTTCAGATTCTAATTCTGTCGGAACTGCTCGCTCCCTTCTCTTTTTGTCTCGAGTCGATCACTTTCGCTCACTCTTTTCAAACTAAAGGTAAAGACCACTCTGTTTAAATAGATTCGAAGTGAGTACCTATTAAATGAGTAACCATCTGCTCCCTACGTTGTTGTCGCCGCCGCAGGTAAAGCTCCATGTGCATGGAGTTCATTGTTTAATAAAATACGTAAAAATACTATTACCAATTGTGAATTGTGAAATTTTATAATAATTAAGAAATACAATTTCTATATAATATGTTCAAGTATAAACGTTGTCAAGTATAATAAAATTTCTAATATAATATGTCAAGTATAATAATTATAGCTATTTGTCCCCAAGGTATAAACGTTGTTGTAAACTATGTCAAGTTGTAATTCAAATATTGTTTTGCTATGTTTTTTTGTCCTTCACTAATAGAATTCAAGTGTTTTCAGCAACAATTTCAGTAACACACATCTATTGCATTAAGCTCTGTATTCGTATACATAATCTGCGATCAAGTTGGTTATTGACTTTGAATTTTGTATTCATTACATAATGATGCATCTAAGTTGGTTGGTCTGAAGCTCACTTTGAATGTCCATATCATTCTTCTACACACAAGTCAGAATATACAATGAACAAAAGCAATTATAGCCTTTTTTTTTAGGAGGCAATTTGTAATGGGCGACAAAGGCGGCTTAACTACTAGACCACTTAATTCATTGTCTAAGGCTTAATTCATATGATTTCTAACAAAATTCTGCATTGATTTCGACATGGTTTCAGTTTTAAATTTGATTTTTGAAATGGATTTGAATGATATTGGTTTTGATTTTAAATGGGTTTGTATGATTTCAGTTTTGATTTTGAAATAAGTTTTCGAATCTCTGTATTTTGGTATTTAGTATTTCTATTATGTATTTTGATTTCGGATTTGTATGATTTAGTTTGTATGTTGCGGTCTATATTTTGGTTTTGAAATAGGTTTCTAGATAAATACCAATCACCAGAAGCAAGGCTAATCTTTTGGTCAGTTTACCAAGGCTAATCTTTTTTAATATACTCCAGGAAGCAACTTGAATTAGCTATAACATACGCAATCACCTTTCCAGATTATTTCTGATAAATTATAATTCCAATATTCAAAAAATATCCCATAAGAATGTCTAACTCCTACAGTATTAACTCAATTACTCATCTCCTAGAAACTCTAAGATCCTGAAAATAATAATAATAATAATAATATAATAATAATTTGAAATCATCAACTAAGAAATATTAGGTGTATTATATAAAAGATTTTGTATATACAAATTGTGCATAAATTCATTTTTAAACAATTTTGTTTTTGTTTGTTTACTTAATTGTGTGCGTGTGTGTTTAAAAAAAAAACGGTGTTCCTATTTTTGTGTTTATGTGTTTATAATTTATTTATGTTTTCATATAACTTATTATGTGTTTCGTATTTTGTGGTTTGTTTGTTTGTTTGCACTATCACAAAATGTTCGCAATTTTTTAGACTTAACCAACAAGAAAGAGGTCGGTAATTTTGTGTTCGTAATTTATTGCACTGTAGTCGGTAAGATCGGTCGACGCACACACAAGAAAGAGGTTGGTATCCTCTCTTCAAAATTTCCTCCCTTTTCTACGCATATCTAAGGTTTCTCTCTTTTTTATGTGTGTCTCTTTGTGCCTTTAGAGATCGGTATCTAAAGGTTTCTTTGTTTTATGTTCTGTAAAATGCCTCAAAATTTTATTTTGGGTTTTCGTTGGTGGTCTAATTTTTTTTATGTGATTTGTTTCTCATTTGGGTTTGATTGTGTGATTATTATGATTTATGTGATTTATGTGATTTAATATTATGTGATTTTTATGTGATTATATTATGTGAAGACCTATTGTGTGATTTCTGGTAAAATTTGTGGTAAAATTTTTATGTGAACCTAATATTATGTGAACCTATTATTGATTTCTGATTTTACAACAAATGGGGTTCAGATTATCAAGTAAAATTAAATAAGGAGATGTTGAAAAAAAATTTGAGTTGTGGAGTGAATTATTGTTGTTGTTCCAAAGTTTTATACCGTTGGGTTTAGTGATTGTGGAGTGGATTTGATTTACCTATAATTAAATTTTATTGTTCTTTAATTTGTATTGTGAAAGGAGATTATCCGAAGTACGGACCAAGTCATGCAAAACTGAGCCTAGTGTTCTTTAAGATATTATGAAGTGAGGAATGGATGCAAGACACTCTTTCTGATGATGGTAAATGGGTTATAGATATTCTTTATTAACTTTATTCTTCATCTTTTTCGTTTCCCTGTTTTCAAATTACAAGCATAGCTGCCTTTCAGTCTGTCTGCATGATTTTTTGAATGAAAATTTTGTTGAAATTGCATTTACTTCACTGTTACAGATCTTGCATTACCACCAGTGATGATTCGCAAACTGACGACACTGAAGAGTCAAGTAATGTCTTCCAACTACATAGTAACTTTCATTTGTCTGATTGCATTTGGAAATTTGTGGTTTCCATTATTTTGCTGTTTATGGGTAGTATGCCTTTAGTGCTTGATCATCAAATGTATAACGTTATTGATCAATTGAAGGTTTTGATTGCACAATATGATTCTAACGCGAAGATGGGTTGGAAGATTCTATGGGTTATTGAGAAATGCTAGAGTCCCACAATTTATCCACAATGACATGTGGCATTGTGTTTGTTTTGGTTTTCTGGTATGGCTGGCTGGATGATGAAGTCCTTATCTTTAGAGAGTTATAAATGCTAACCAAAGATAGTAAAAAAGGAAAGGTAGTGGAATGGTTAATTTGGTTACATTGAGGGAACCAAAATCTGTAATGAAAATACACCAAGGTGCTAGGGAATTACTCCACGCACTATCTCATTATTTACTTGCGTATGCAACAGGCCTCAATACAATGGTAAGTCCCAACAAAATAGGAAAATTCCTTACAAGTAGTTGACAACTTAAATGAGTTACAAATCAGGAGATAAGATAACCTACCTGAATTAATTAAAAATTAGGAAAGAATAACTAAAAATCTAAACAGAATTGTGTAGACCTCCTAATAAAAAGAGAATGTATCAACTCCTCCCCCTTAAAATTTGTTTGTTATTTCTCGGCTGATTTGATTTCCGTCATGTGAATGGTCATAGAGTTGATTTAGAAATCAAATGGGCTTTGCTTTTTTTCACAATTAATCTATATAATAATCATGGCAAATGATACCAAATAGGTTCAGAATCCCAAGTAATTTTGAAAAAAAAAATGTGATTTTGTGGACAGAATATAATTGTTTCGTGTCCATCACCTCATCATTTTTTTCCTTATGTATTTTGATTTCAGTTTCACATTTGAAACTACAGCATCTGTTTGAGTCTCATCTTTATGTTCATTTCATCTTCATCTCAACTGTCTCTCTCAATTACAATTTGTTATTTTGATTTTAAAATTTTCAATACTTATGTTTCTTATGCAATTTGTTTCTCATTTATATTGCCTCAATTAAATATATGTCTCTTCAACCCTCTATATTTTGTGTGTGTCTTCATGCATACACCGATGTTCGGTAAAATGGCTCAATTAAATAGTTTATATATAATTCTAAACTTATACCACCATGCTAGCTGCTTATTTTAAAATAGTTTATATAGTTTATTAAAATAGTTTATATACCATGCTAGCTGCTTATATAATTCTACTTGAGAACATATAATCTTATGAAAATCCCTCAAAACATTTTTTTTTATTTTATGAAAATCCATCAAAACATTTTTTTTTTAATTTTTCTTTTTTGGCTTTTTTTGTTTTATATCTCTTTGTATGCATTCACTATGTTCTGTAAAATGCCTGACATAGGTCTCTGAAATATTTTTCTAAAATGGGTCTCCAAAATGCCTCAAAATTTTTATTTGGGTTTTCGTTAGGTGTCTAATTTTATATGTGATTTGTTTCTCATTCGGGTTTGATTGTGTTTCTCATTTATATTATGTGATTTGTTTTTCATTTGTATTGCCTCAATTAAAATGTCTCTTCACCCCTCTATATTTTGTGCGTGTCTTCATGCATATACCATGTTCGGTAAAATGGCTCAATTAAAATAGTTTATATAATTCTAAGTTTATGAACACCATGCTAGCTACTTATATAATTCTACTTGCGAACATATAATCTTATGAAAATCCATTAAAACTTTTTTTTTTCTTTTTCGGCTTTTTTTGTTTTATGTCTGTCTCTTTGTATGCATTCACTATGTTCTGTAAAATGTCTCACATAGGTCTCTGAAATATTTTTCTAAAATGGGTCTCCAAAATGCCTCAAAACTTTTATTTGGGTTTTCGTTGGGTGTCTAATTTTTTATGTGATTTGTTTCTCATTCGGGTTTGATTGTGTTTCTCATTTATATTATGTGATTTGTTTTTCATTTATATTGTCTCAATTAAAATATGTCTCTTCACCCCTCTATATTTTGTGTGTCTTCATGCATACACCATGTTCGGTAAAATGGCTCAATTAAAATAGTTTATATAATTCTAAACTTATGAACACCATGCTAGCTGCTTATATTAAAATAGTTAAATAGTTTATTAAAATTGTTTTAGAAAATTTACAAACCAACTAATTTTTTTAGAAATTTTTTCCCAAAATTACTCTACAAATCCAAACCAAACATACCCATAATCTTATAAAAATCCATCGAAACATCTTTTTTTTTTCTTTTTTGGCTTTTTTCGTTTTATGTGTCTCTTATGTTCTGTAAAATGCCTCACATAGGTCTCTGAAATATTTTTCTAAAATGGGTCTCCAAAATGCCTCAAAATTTTTATTTGGGTTCACTATGTGATTTTTTGTTTTCGTCAGGTTGTATGAATCGCAAATAGCCATGAATCGTAGGTGAATTGGTGAACCAAATCGGTAAATCGTGAAGTGAATCAATTCGATTCGCTAAAATCGATGTTTGAATTTACTTTTTAGTTTTTTATTGTTGGAAAAGGGTT